CAACTTTAAGACTTGTGGACTTCAACTCCCAGAATTCCTCAGCCAGCTTTGCTGGCTGAGGAATTCTGGGAGTTGAAGTCCACAAGTCTTAAAGTTGCCAAGGTTGGACACCCCTGATCTAGAGTTTTAACTCACCCTCAACTTTAGGAAGGGCAGTGCTTCAACCCTGAATAGGTTTGGCCAGTAGAAGAGTCGGCCTCCCCTTCTCTTCCTTACTTGGTCTCCCTGGACCAGGAACTCCCCAATCTCACACGCCATCGTCTCCGAATCCCGGAGCGAAGATGCCACGAAACACGGGGTTGTCGCGCTGCTTGTGTGTCGGTGTGTTTGTGTTTGGCTTCTCGAGCCTTGGAAGATGACCGCCTCCTTCCGCCATTCCGCTCTCCAGCCCCTCGGGGCTCTCCTTGGGAGACGCATCTTGTGCGCTCAAGACACACACAACGATGGTGCCATAATTGCTCGGAAGACAAAGACAAGGACGGTCACAAGCCAGAAGGGAGCGGAAAGTCCGAAGCTCACACTTTATATATGTAGGGTTGCATTTCCAGCTTATCTGATGGTGTCTCCTTTTGAGTCTCGTGACGTTTTTAGATGGCAATTAATCACAGAGGCCAAAAGACAAGCCAGGACGTAACTCTTGTGCAGCTCCTCCTTGTTTTGTCCCAACGCCGTTGGCCTGTGCCAAGGGGGGAGAATGTTCTTGCGGCTTGTTGGGCCAACCCTTGTTTTGGTTTCCATTGGAATAGGTTATTGTTTTAAATAAGCTAAGCTTTCTCTCAATAAAACAAGACTCGGTTCTTTTGGTTTCTTTCCCTATTCTCGTTCCTTGTGGTGTTTTTTTTTTGAGTGCTGGCCTGGGGAATTCTGGGAGTCGAAGTCCATGCGTCGCAAAAGTTGACAAGGTTGGGGAAATCCTGCTCAGGAAGATTACCTTGCAACAGGTGAGGCTGGGAGGGAGGCTAATAAGGAAGGGCAGGCAAAGGGAGAAGGAGGCGTTGAGTTGCTGCCCTCTGGGGACCCTTCAGGGTACAAGTCAGTCCTCAACGACCACAGCGGAGCCCAAAATTTATGTTATTGTGAGGCATTTGTTAAGTGAGCTTTACCCCGTTTTACAACCTTTCTTGCCGCTGCAGGTGAATCACTGCAGCTGATAAGTTAGTAACCTGGTTGTTAAGTGAATCTGGCTTCCCCCCGTTGCTTATCAGAAGGTCACAAAAGGGGATCACAGCAACGGTCATAAATACGAACCAATTGACAAGCATCTGAATTTTGATCACATGATACAGAGGCCATAACTGAAAAAAACGGTCATAAGTCACATTTTTTTCAGTACCGTTGTAACTTTGGTCATGAAATGAACTGTTGTAAGTCGGGGACTATTTGCCAGTGTCAGTGAAATAGCCTGCTGGTGGCTGTTGCCGTCGCTTCGAAACGAGCGTTGGGACTCGTCCTGCTGAGTAACGCCCCCAACTCTCTGGCAAGGGTTCTGGAACAAGCCATTGTTCTGCTTTCTAAGAAAAAAAGGCAGAGCAGAGAAAAAGGGCAGCCACCCTGGCTCGGGATAAAACACCCACTCCTACTGGGAGTTAGGATAGGGAGTCCTCGACTTACGGCCACAATTGAGCCCAGCTTTTCTGTTCCTAAGTGAGACATGGGTTAAGTGAGCTCTGCCCCGTTTGACGACTTTTCTTGCGAATCATTGCAGTTGATAAGTTAATAACCTGGTTGTTAAGTTGTTAAGGCTCCCCCACTGACGTTGCTTGTCAAAGGGATCACACAGGACAAAGGGATCGCCAAAGGGATCACGCAGGACACTGCGACCGTCATAAACATGAACCAGCTGCCAAGCATCTCAATTTTGATCCTGCGACCATGCGGGTGCTGCAACGGCCGTAACTCTGAAAAACAAGTCATGAGGCATTTTTTTCAGTGCCGTTGTAACTTTGAACAGTCACTAAATGAACTTATAAGTCGAGGATGACCCGTATATAAATTTTAACACATTGCAATATCATTTATTATTGTTGTCTTCCCCAACTTAGGAAAAACGTCCCTGGAAACAAATCCATCAGAAAATGTAAGTCATCCTCAACCTATAACCAACAATTAAAAGCAGAAAGCCTGTTATTGTGCGAGGCAGTTGTTAAGTGAGTGGTGGCCAATGTAAACCTTTTTTGGGCCACTTTTGTTAAATGAGTCACTGCAGTTAAGCGAATCTGGCTTTTCCTACTGACTTGTCGGAACCCCAACTGGGAAAGTCACGAATGGCGATGATGGCATCCCAGTTCCTGCACCCGTTATAAACACAGGTTGTTCTCAACTGGCCACCACATCCCTTTATTCCAAGTTGGTTGTATTATAATGAAGGCTTGCATTGCAGGTAGGCCTCCATTTACGACCACAGTTGAGGCCCATTTTTTTTTTTAGCTAAGTGAGAAGTTTCATAAACGAGTTTTGCCCCATTTTTAACCACCTTTCCTGCTCCAATTGTTGCACGATTCACTACAGTCGTTAAGGGGGCTTCCCCTTTGACTTTGCTCGTCAGAAGGGCGCAAAAGATGATCCCAGGGCCCGGGAGATCGCAATCGTCAAAAAAATGAACCGATTGCCAAGCGTTCAAATTTTGATCACGTGACTGATGACCCGGGGCAAGGCAGGGAGGCAAAACCCAGCCAGCTGATAGTTTGAGCTCCCCTTTATTGCTCCGACTTTTCCCCCCAAACGTTCCCACGTTTATGGCAAGTCCCGGAGCAAAGTGCTCTCTCACACACACACACACACCTGTAGCAGCCTCTGGCTGCGAGTAGTCCAACAAAATGCAGTTAGCACAACAGCTTCAGGACGAGAAGTCCAGCGAGGCAAAGAAACAAAAGCCGTAATAAGGCAAGTCCAGCAAACCGGCTTCAGCAACGGCATACAAAACTCCATGAATTCAGCACTTGTTTCCGATCAATGCCTTTCCCCACAGCGTCTCCTTAAAGTCTCAGTGCACAGGTGTGCCTTGTGAAGAGGGGCGGGGCGCTCTCCTCCTGAGTTGTCGGGTCGGCCTGTGCTGTTCCTGTCTCCTCTCCACTCTCCGTGCTCAGGGATCAGGAGGGGGTGGTCCTTGTTTGTCGCCTGAGCTCCGTTGCTCCTCATCTCCACCGCCTGCCCTCTCTTCCCCTTTCTCTCGGTTGTCCTGCCCTCATTCTTCCGTTCTGTCCCATGCCTGAGGGGTCCCTCCTCCTGCTCCTTCCCACGTTCCTCCAAAGCCAACGAGGCCAACCCCTCGACCTCCGTCAGCCCCAGCTCTTCCTCCTCTGTGGATTCAGGCACCAACAGGGCCATGACACATGACCACGTGGATGCTTCAACAGTCTTAAGTGGGGAAAAGAGCCATGTCACTTTTTTCACCGCCGTTGTAACTTCAAACGGTCGCTAAGTGAAGTAAGTCGGGGACAATCTGTAGGTGCTTACAATCCCACACAAACATACTACACGACCCACCTTTTTCTTTAAAATGCACCAGGATTTTGTATTTTATGCTGCCTGAAATATATATTTTTGCACCCCAAGAAATACTGGGTGCTGACGGCCTTGAAGCTGTTATTTCACATTAAATGAGCAGAGGCCATTTGTCTTTTTTTTTATAAGAGATGGAGGAACAAAACACCCCCAAGTTTCTTCTGGTCAAAATTAGTTCGTAAGACTTCTTGGCATGGTTTGCTGCCCTCCGGCAGCCTCACTAGTTTCAACATTTGCTTAATGTTTTCTATAGCACAATGATGCATCCTGGGTGCTTGAAGAGAGAACAAAACAAACCAAGGAAAACTAGGTCAAAGGACAAACTTGGCTTATTTTATGCAGCTCTGCCTCCTGCAGTCAAGTTATAAAACCTGCCAGAATTTAACACAGCTCTTGTGTTCCGCTGTGGTTGGCCCAAAACCACACACGGAGAATGCAGAGATAATATTCACTGTGTTAAATCTGCGTTTCTCAGTTAACGACTGGTGGAGTTTTAGTGACAAAACACTGGATGGGATGTCCTGCCTTGGCTGTCAACCCTGAAGCTGACCTGACCGAAGCCATTTTAGAAGCTTCAGTGTTGCCACACTGGAGTGGAAGGATAAGGAGGGCGGGATTTGAGATAGCTGGGATTTTGTAGCCAAAGCAATATATTTTCTCTTGAGACCCAAGGACATTCTCACACCTGGCCAGAGGAAGGAGGAGGAGGAGTGCTGTCACCAGGCCACCAGACAGCGCTGTGATTGGATCATGTGATTGATTGTTTTGAGAAAATGACAAACTGAATGAGGTGAAAACCGCGGAAAACCTTCAGAGTCGGTTTTCACCAGATCTGTGCCAATATGATATCCAATAAAGCTATTCCGTTCAGGCATCTTAATGCCTCGAAGTGTTGTGTAGCTATGGGTCTGTTACCTGGAATCCTGACATTGGCAACTTTAAGACTTGTGGACTTCGACTCCCAGAATTCCCCAGCCGGCTGGGGGATTCTGGGAGTTGAAGTCCACAAGTCTTAAAGTTGCCAAGGTTGGACATCTCTGATATAGGCCATGGGCTTTATTTCTATCTGGGCCTAGTGTCACCAGCTTTGAGTAAATTTTAAGATTCGATGAGAACACAAAGCATATCTTGAGGCATTTTTTCCCCCTCTTTGCATCTAGCAAATATCTATAGAGATTTTCGGTCATCCAGGTTATGGTTGTTCCAAAGGTGCATTTTCAGGAGGCAACTGGACTTTCTTATTTCTTCTTTTGAAGACTCTTCACTTCTCATCTAAGGCAACTTCTGTTCCATTGGTTGATTGTTCTCACTGTCAGAAAGTTTCTCCTTATTTCCAGGTTGAATCTCTCCTTGTTCAGTTTCCATCCATTAATTCCTTCTCTGGCCTTTGGGTGCTTTGGAGAATAGCTTGACCCCCTTCCTCCTCTCTGTGGCAGCCCCTCAAATATCGGCAGGCTGCTATCCTGTCTCCCCTGGTCCTCCACTAGACTAGCCAGACCCAGTTTAAACCTTAACATCCAGATGTCGGCAGTTATCAGAATCGAATAATACAACAGCAGCAATTAAATTCCATAACTTAGGATAACTACCTTCCCTGTATCCCAAGCCAGTTCCTACCGTAGTTATCTGACGGAGAGAAACAAGAGACCAATTCTGGCCTCATTGAACCGAAATGTTTTGTGTAAAATAAAACAAGATGGATCTGCCAAACCTTTGCAATGCAGTGCATCGGTTACTCGGCTTCAGTGTTGCTACAGCATTGGTTTTTCCATGGCGTGAACAAGCTTTATTGACTGTCCCTGGTCAATAGCAACCACTAAGGAATTACTGTTCCTACTTGCAGGCTACTGACTGTGTCTCATTTACAAAGGTTGGGAGTAATTCCCTGGTGATAGTGATCTATTTGCAAAATTGCACACACACACACACACACACACACACACACACACACACATCCTTCCCCCCCCTTTTTTTCGATCTAGTCTTGCAACTCCATCAAGCTGAGGGCAAATGGTATGCTGGCGGTCAGGGCAAGTATCTTTTTTTTTTTCCTAGATCAGAAAGGATCGGTTGATTCCAATCTGAGCCAAGCTTCAACCTGCAATCTCCCAGGTAGAAGATTGCAATGGCCAGGTACAAGAATTCACTTTTCTTCCCCATAAATGTGGGTGCTAAGAGAATCCCTGGCGGTCAAAAGACCTGGAGAAATAGCACTCGATGGCTGCAAAATGGGAATTGCTGATTTTTTCCCCACAATCAGCAATTCCCATTTGGTCACCTGAAAATTAAGAGGGCGGAGTCCTTGGTGAGCCCTCTGAGCTTGGTGGTTTGCTCGCAAACGTTTTGTTACCCAACTAGGCAACATCATCAGGGTAAGGGAGTGGGGGGGTTGCTTGCTGTTTTATAAATACAGGTAGTCTTTGACTTAATAACCATAATTGGGACTACGATTTCCAACGCTAAGCAAAAAGCTGCGGTCAAGGGGTACCCGTTTTGATGGCCTTTTTGCCATGGTGGTTAAACAAATCATGGGTTGTTGTTTTTTTTAAATGAATCGAGTATTTTGATACCGAAATATAATTTTATCATATTTTATTTATCTACATATTAAATTATTGTATTTTATTCCAATTTCATTTTAAACTGTATTTTATTCGAATTTCACTTTAAATGGTATTTTTATCCAATTTCATTTTAAATGGTTTTTATCAGATTTTAGTAATGATTTGTGTCTAGAACTCTGCACTTTGATATGGCACAAGGGGCAGGGCTAATCAGTAAAGTAAACTGAACTGTGGGGAGAAGTGAATCAAATGGTTGTTCATTGAATCCAACTTCCCTCTTCAATTTTGTGTGTTGGAAGCTGATTGGGAAGTTGGAAATAGAGATCAATCAACCCCAATCTAGTCCCACTTTAGTCACAAAAGCCATCTTGGCCACCTTAGGCCAGTCAGTCGCAGTGTGACCCACCTCACAGAGGTTTTCTTGTGAGGAAAATAGGAAATGGGCCTGTTGGATATGTTTGCCACCTTAGGTCAATGGTGGCTAACCTTTTTGGGCTCCTGTGCTAAAAACTGTGCGCGTGCCAGCAGATACGCACTCGCGTGCCAGTACCCAGAATGCAACGCGCCCCCCCCACTCCCTGCGCATGTGCGCGCAATCCCCCACCGCCGCTCCCTTACTTGCACTGCACATCACAGTTGATTTTTCGGCCTCTCGGAGGCTTGGGAAAAGCCTCTGCAAGGCTTTTCAGGACAAATTATAGGCCCGTTTCGTCACTTCTGGTATTACAGGAAGTGACAAAACGGGCCTATAATTCGTCCTGAAAAGCCTTGCAGAGGCTTTTCCCAAGCCTCCGAGAGGCCGAAAAAGGCCTCAAACCAACCCCCAAAAAATCAGCTGTGAGGCGCGCGCATGCACAGTGAGGTAAGTTTGCCTGCGGCTCGCGTGCCAGCAGAAATGGCTCTGCGTGCCACTTGTGGCACGCGTGCCATAGGTTCACCAACACGGCCTTAGGTTATTTGTAAAATGTGGGCCAGGAAAATCCACAGGATGGCAGCAGAGAGTCAGGATAGATGCAGCTTTTGTTATATTCTTTGTTTTTTTTTTCCCCCTTTTTTGTCCTTTCCCCCCCCCCCCCCCACCCTTGCATATTTTATTCAGTGGAATAAAAGAGAGGGGGAGGGACAGAGAGAGAGAGAGAGAGATCCCAGATCTGCTGGCTCGTCCCTGAACATTTTAGTGGGACAATCTGATCAATGGAAAGCACTAAATGCTGTTTCAGTCTCTCTTTTGCGGGGGTTGGCCAGTCTAGAAAAAAAAAGAAAAGGACTAGGGCGGACACGATAGACGTATTTATTTTTTATTTATTTATTTGATTTGCCAATTGTTTACAAGATAATAAGTATAAGCGTATACATAGTTGTGAATACATGAAATGGGTACATATAAGAAAAATAAAAGAATAAGAGAAACAATAGGACAGGGACGGTAGGCACGATGGTGCGCTTATGCACGCCCCCTATTCCAGCATTTTGAGAAGGTGCCCCAAAGAGGAGAAGTGACTACAAAGAGGAAGAGGGGGAGTCAACTTATTTTCCAAAGCCCCTGAAGGCAGGACAAGAAACAATGGATGGAAACTCATCCAGGAGAGAAGCAACTTTGGAATTCAGAAGAAATTTCCTAGCAGTGAGGACAATTAAGCAGTGGAAGAGATCGACTTCCGTCGTCGTGGATGCTTCATCATTGGAGGTTTGTAAGAAGACACTGGATCCTCCTACACCACTGAAATGGCGGTATAGGCTCCCCTGCTTGAGCAAGAGGCTTCAAGGTCTCTTCCAGCTCTATTCTGATTCTTGACTCTTTTTAGATCCACCTGGAAGCGCTTATGCTTTTTCCACCAGGCACCAGAAGACTTGGGGCGGGGCCGATGCTAAGCTTTCACATATCCCGGATTGCCTAAAGAAACCCAAAAGTGATGTAAGTTATAATAGGTACCTCCTCAACTTACAACTGTAATTAAGCCCAGAATTACGGACATAAGTTGTAATGGTCATTAAGCAGATCATGAGGTGACAACACCTGGTTTTATTATTATTTTTGGGGGTGGTGGTAATTAAGTGAACCACCAAGGTCACTAAGTGAATGCTATGGGTTATTAAACGAACCCATTGTACCCCTGTAGGAAGTTAGCACCCACCCCTCTCCTAGAAAAATGAAATATCCTAGGGAATATTTAAAAAGGCAGAATATTTCCCCTAAAAAGAGAACTAGATACTCAGAAGCAGAGAGGCAGAGAGGCAGAAGCTCACCCCTCCACCTTTGTTAATAGGTGGGCCATTTAGGCCTAGGCC